TTAGTAATATCGTGTACCTACATGGTAAAACACTAACCAAAATTTGTCTAATCATATCTACCAACAAATTGATCACGTCACCTCAAAGTTTTGCATAGCAATTGCTATTTAAATTTCGTAAAATATTATACACCTAAACTTGTAGTTTATGAATTAACTTGACAGCAAGAATTTGTAAAACTTACATCCGTGCAGTATTTATTAGAATTTGCAAATAATTTGGTCTGTTTTTCATGAAAGAGACAAGAAACTTTTGGTATCTACTCAATGTAGAATAACAAGAATCTCGATAAATAAAACCAATGTTTGTATTAGATCTATTTCTATAGCAGTTATTTTAGTATGTTCGATGTCGTGAAATGATGGTAAAAATATACAGTTTATTTTATAAATCGCTGTCATAATGTTCCTATATTCTTAAAATTTTTTAGCAGAGTTCAGAAAAAGAAATGCAATAGGGTTATTTTTAAATTTGTGCTACAAGATCCTTTTACGAAAAAAGAATCTTCATCTACAGAGTATTTATAAAAACAATTTTTTTGTTGCAATTTTCAAATATTGATATTTCTGTTTTTTTCAAATAGAACAGCCTGTATTTGCTACTACATATTAATAACATTTCAGAGTGGCTGTCGACACATTAGACAATGATCAGTTTGAGGTTCTGATTTAAAAGAAACAAGTCAGGATTTTGTGTTTACCTTTCCTTTCATTCAAAAACGACATGCCTTTTATTATAAAAATTCGTAAAAATACGCAAATTCAAAACTGCCAAGATTACACCGCGAACTAACAAATGTTTCTGACAAGAAAACTGAAAACATAAAATTTTAAAATTTTGTTTAGAATTTTTACCTGCGTCGACAACTATTATGTATTAAATTATATGTCTTTTTATTTAATCTGGACCTCTTACTTTATGAAACATTCTTTTCAGAAATTTAAGAAGAGAAGTGGTACCACAGACCTCGGCAAAGAGTACGAACATCTCTACATAGCGAATTTAGTTTTAAAATTAATCATTGACGACAAAGTGAAACATTTTTATCTGTCGTCGAACGATAGTGCATATGGTTCTTTCGATGGCGTTGTAGCTGAAATTGAATTCAAAGATCACACCGAAATTTTTGCTATTCAACTGAAAATTGAGCAGTTAAATGCATCAAGTGGAAATTGGAGCTTCGAAAAGTATTATAAAGACTTCAAAAAAGAGCCGAAGTTGTCTAAATCGCATATCAAGGTGGTTTTGTTTACTAATTCTAAGCTAAATGATGAACGAATAGAAAATTTTAAATTTGGCAAATTGACGCCACATGAACAAAACAGTTTGCTAAGTACACGTATATCCAAGTCAGGAGGACAGTGTTACAGATTCAAAGAAAATGAAGATAATTTTGAAAAATATGGAATTTCTTTTAAAAATTTGTATCTTTATACTAATCAAACTGATGCCGAAGAACTAGAAACGTGTACACTTCAGAGATTCGAGACATATTTCAAAAGCAACGAGACCGTTTTCCGGGAATATCTACATTTTATAACCCAGTGGAGCAAGAAGGAAGGAAACAAATTCAAGTTAAATAAAACATTGATGAAAAACATGATAAGCCTTTGTGTGTTTTCATCTGCTATAAAGCCGTTGTCTTTTGTTGCTGGTGGTTCAGTGGACGCCAAAGGAAAAAATTTTAAAGAAGCTGTTTCGAAATTTGACTTGACTGTAATAAACAAAAACAATTTCGACAAAATCGACTCAGTTTGGTCAAATGCTATCGACGATGTAGATAATATGAAAGAAACGATAAACGTTAATAACATGTACCAACTTATCAAAAACGGAGTAAAAACAAAAGAGAATCTCTATTATCACGACGCAACAAAAGTATCGAAGCTCATGTGGTTGCTAGGGAAAAGTCCGCTAGTCGTTAAAGGATGTCCACAAGTTTATGAAACAATAAAAATATGTCAGGTTCAAAATCTAATTATACTAGATGATCGAGAAACGTTTAATGGGTGTGTTAAAAAAAGTAGTACTGTAGATGGTCAACAAAAAACATGCTTCTTTGAAAAGTTGTCTGACTTAGAAAAACACCAACAGTTGTATGAAGAAATCCTAGCGAATTTTACATATTCATTGCAAGGGCAAAAAGACGTTGCATTGCACTATTTGCTAGAAATCTACAAAGATAGCGGCGACTTCATCACTACAGATGATTTAGTTGGAATGATGAAAGCTCCATTGCTGATTGGAAAATGCAAAGATGTTCTGCCACCCAGTCATGTTGAAAGAAAATTGACGAAAATTTTAATAGATGTAAAATTTTTGGAAAAGGTTAGTGAAAATACAATTGTTTTGGTCGATTGCGTAACAGATGTCAACTATTTGAAACAATTTTTACCAAATTTAGTAGTCAACGAAGTGAATGAAGTTGAGTTAATTCAGAACACAATTCATGAACAGAAGATATATATTTATGAAAAGGAAATTTCACACGAAGAATTTTCTGCATTGTGTAAAAAAAATTTAGAAATTCAGTTTCATTACTTCAGATATTTAGACAATCATCGTTTGGAATGGATGGAAAGTGAAAATTATGACTCGGAACGAAAATATATCAACGAACTCGGGAGGTTTCGTCTACAAAGTGACTTTATGGAGTACACTATACACGAGCGTCAGTACTTTAGTCATTCTCGACAAAATATCAACATTATTTCCGCCGATGCTGGAATGGGAAAAAGCACATTAACGAAGAGTTTAAAAAATAGTAGTATATCGACAAAGTGGATCATTTTAATCTACGCCAGAAATCATGTCTTACACTTCAAGAAACATCGGTCAAATGTGGAGAATTTCTTAAAATACATCCTAGAAGATACTTTTAAGGACTGCATTAACCCGTTCCACCAGAGAGTTTTCAAATCGATGCTGGAACAAAACCAAATACAACTAATATGGGACGGACTCGATGAAGCATCTGATGTCACTCAAATTTCCATCTTAGCTTTAGTAACTGCGTTTTCTAAAAAAGGAATGAAGCAATGGTTGACTTCTCGAATCAATTTAAGGGATATGTTGGAAAACGAATTAGGTACGTTTGCGCGAAATATAAAACAATTTAGTGAAGACGAACAAAAGGAATATATAAAAAACCGTTTAGAGATTACCGGTGAGAAGTTAAATGAAACTTTTAATAAAATAAGAAAAAATATAATGTCTTTTCCAAATTACGAAATTTTAGGCATTCCTCTACAAATTTATATGCTTACAGAATTATTTTTAAATGACAGAGACAAATACCTACCTTTGTTAGACAGTATTTTCACTGTTCTTGATCTATATGAACATTTCGTTAAAGAAAAATTTCATGTTTTATATATCGACAAAAAAGAAATTACATTAGGAAATGAGCAAAATATCAAGAATTTTGAAAACGAAAAGGACGCTAGAATGAATCACTATAAAAGTTTAGCTGCAAGTTATTACATTTATAACTCTTTCAAAAACAAGATTGTAAATAAATTATTCTCTAACGACAAGACGATTGGCAGTTTTGTAAAAAAAATTAAAAACGAAGGAGATGAGGTAGGATTTATAAGCCGCGTCATATCTAAATATGATGTAGAATTCATTCACAATTCGTACGGTGAATATTTTGCAGCTTTATATCTGTTTGAACACGAACCATCCAAAGCACGTGACAAAAATTTTATTTCTGACAGTAGATATAACAACATTCGGTTTTTTTTAGATTTAAAGTTAGTGGAAAATTCGAAATGTACAGTAAGTGTTATATATAAGAATCTTACAATTCTAAAAGAATTTACCCATGCAGATTTACTTAAAAAGGATATCATTGGTCGTGACATTTTGGAAGTGGCTTGCGCCTGGAATAAAAGTTATCCACTTGTTAAAAACAATATTATTTTGAATGGCGGAAGGTTCAAGACGAAATGGTTAATCAGCAATAATAAAAAAGTCGTCGGAGCCCTAAATTATCGTGATATAGCACCAGAAATTTATAAATTCAGGGCATCGCGTCATCTGTGTTTTAAAAAATTGATGATTTTGTTACCATTTTTGATTCCATTATATGACGGGAATCAGTTCGCTGAAGAATATTCAGTGGCAGTTTTATATTATGCAATTAGGTTTGATTGTCCAGTAATTTATGAGTGTATTGAAAATTCTATTTCTTTAAAAACCACATACAATGATATTAGTCCAAGAAGCATTCTAGCCTTAGCTCTTTTCAACAGGTCAGCACAAATATTAAAAACAGTTCTTCCTGAAAAACGATTTTGTTCTGAATGGGACTGCGTAGATGAACTTTCAATTTTGAATTCGGAAATTGACGAAGTATTGACTTTTGCGTTACATTTGCCAGAGTTTAGAACAGATGTGCCAAATTCGAGACGTCAGTCGTTAGCGCATTATGCATGTGAAAAAAATCTAACGAAGACGTTACGTTCACTAATTCTCAGAAAAGCAAACATGAATGATCGGGATAGGAACGGAAATCTTCCTATACATATTGCACATGAAAAGGGGTATTCAGATTGTTTAAAACACATAGCACAAATTGACGTTTTGGATAAATACGGTCGATTGCCGCTTCATTACGCTTGTGAGGATGGAGATTTAGGTGCGACAGAAATACTGTTAACCAATGGTGCGAAAGTTGACATTCCGGATAGAGATGGACGACTGCCGATACATTATGCTTGTAAACACGGAACATTAAACCTGGTAGAATTACTGGTAACGAACGGTGCGATATTTGATGTTCCGGAAAGAGGTGGTCAGCTACCGATGCACTATGCGTGCAGAAATTACTTGGAAGGATATGATATAATCTTATTTTTGCTAGAAAAAGGTGCGAAAGTGAATGTTCCGCAAGGAGATGGACGGCTGCCGATACATTATGCTTGTGAACACCGAAATTTAAATATGGTAGAATTACTGGTGACTAACGGAGCGAAATTTGATGTTCCGGACAGAGGTGGTCAGCTACCGATGCACTATGCGTTCAGAAATGATCGGTGGGGATGTGATATAATTTTATTTTTGTGTAAAAAAGGTGCGAAAGTGGATGTTCCGGATGGACATGGACAACTGCCGATACATTATGCTTGTAAACACGGGACATTAAACCTGGTAGAATTACTGGTAACGAACGGATCGAAACTTGAAGTTCCGGACAGAGCTGGTCAGCTACCGATGCACTATGCGTACAGAAATGATGGGTGGGGATGTGATATAATTTTATTTTTGTGTAAAAAAGGTGCGAAAGTGAATGTTCCGGATGGAGATGGACAACTGCCGATACATTATGCTTGTAAACACGGAACATTAAACCTGGTAGAATTACTGGTAACGAACAGAGCGAAAGTTGATGTTCCGGACCGAGGTGGTCAGCTACCGATGCACTATGCGTGTACAAATGACAGATGCGGATGTGATATAATTTTATTTTTGTGTAAAAAAGGTGCGAAAGGGGATGTTCCGAATAAAGAAGGACGACTGCCGATACATTATGCTTGTGAACACAGAAATTTAAACATGATAGAATTACTGGTAACGAACGGATCGAAATTTGATGTTCCGGACAGAGCTGGTCAGCTACCGATGCACTATGCGTTCAGAAATGACCGATGGGGATGTGATATAATTTTATTTTTGTGTAAAAAAGGTGCGAAACTGAATGTTCCGAATAGAGATGGACAACTGCCGATACATTATGCTTGTAAACACGGAACATTAAACCTGGTACAATTACTGGTAACGAACGGAGCGAAATTTGATGTTCCGGACAGAGGTGGTCAGCTACCGATACACTATGCGTGTAGAAATTATTTGCAGGAATGTGATATAATTTTATTTTTGTGTAAAAAAGGTGCGAAAGTGAATGTTCCGGATGGAGATGGACAACTGCCGATACATTATGCTTGTAAACAGAAAACATTAAACCTGGTAGAATTACTGGTAACGAACGGATCGAAATTTGATGTTCCGGACAGAGATGGTCAGCTACCGATGCACTATGCGTTCAGAAATGACCGATGGGGATGTGATATAATTTTACTTTTGTGTAAAAAAGGTGCGAAAGTAGATGTTCCAGATGGAGATGGACAACTGCCGATACATTATGCTTGTAAACACGGAACATTAAACCTGGTAGAATTACTGGTAACGAACGGTGCGAAATTTGATGTTCCGGACAGAGGTGGTCAGCTACCGATGCATTATGCGTGTAGAAATTATTTGCAGGGATGTGATATAATTTTATTTTTGTGTAAAAAAGGTGCGAAAGTGAATGTTCCGGATGGAGATGAACAATTGCCGATACATTATGCTTGTAAACACGGAACATTAAACCTGGTAGAATTACTGGTAACGAACGGTGCGAAATTTGATGTTCCGGACAGAGGTGGCCAGCTACCGATGCACTATGCGTACAGAAATGTTCTGTGGGGATGTGATATAATTTTATTTTTGTGTAAAAAAGGTGCGAAAGTGGATGTTCCGGATGGAGATGGACAACTGCCGATACATTATGCTTGTAAACACGGAACATTAAACCTGGTAGAATTACTGGCAACGAACGGAGCGAAATTTGATGTTCCGGACAGAGGTGGTCAGCTACCGATGCACTATGCGTACAGAAATGTTCTGTGGGGATGTGATATAATTTTATTTTTGTGTAAAAAAGGTGCGAAAGTAGATGTTCCGGATGGAGATGGACAACTGCCGATACATTATGCTTGTAAACACGGAACATTAAACCTGGTAGAATTACTGGCAATGAACGGAGCGAAATTTGATGTTCCGGACAGAGGTGGTCAGCTACCGATGCATTATGCTTGCAAAAATTACTTGGAGGGATATGATATAATTTTATTTTTGCTAAAAAAAGGTGCGAAAGTGAATGTTCCGGATGGAGATGGACGGCTGCCGATACACTACGCCTGTGAACACGGAACTTTAAGAACACTGAAATTATTAGTATCGAATGGTGCGAAAGTGAATATTCTGGATCACAGTGGCAAACTGCCGATCGACTACGCGCAGAAAAACCGAAACTTTGACAGTAACATGTTAAAAAAACATGAAATCTAAAATCCTCGAAACAGTTACCGATAAAGGGGTTCTGATAAAATTTTTTAATGGATATCGTGTAGTACTTTTGTTACGTAGGTACATGCATATGCGTGATTCTATTTCATTTGACATGTCCATCCAGCCAGTTACTACTAATTTATACTTGGGAATCGTTTTCATTTAAAGACGGCGCAACCTAACGATGAAGTCCTTACTCCTTACCAGTTTCACTTCCATGCACACGCATATAAGCAATAAAACTTTTTGGCTATTATACACTAGTTACAAAATTTTCTTCTTTTTATGTCCGATGATCGAAAAAGACAGCTCAAAAATATTTCAGTTTTTGTGACATTTTAAATTAAAATATATATATTAGAAATAAATTACTTATAAATAAATCAAAATCTATTAAAGTAAGGATGTTATTAGATGCAAAAAATTTGGCAAACTGCCATTATAATAGATTTAAAATGACGCGATTCCTTTGAAAGGACATTTTGGAGATCATAAAACACAGCTTAGAAAATTTGTTTACTTGTCAAGGCAATTTAAAAATATTAAATTTTAAGCCATTGAATTTATTGTTTTTAAGATGTATCACGGTTATTATAGTGCATCGTAGTAAAGGACCTTAACCAATCAAGTAAAATGAGCATATAGATCAAGATTAAATTTGTCATTAATTTATTAGGTGTGAATATGCAGAACATATATATAGATATACAAAACATTAACGTTCAAGTCCAATTCAAAAATTTATAGAGGAATGACCTGATATTTCAGTGTTTTGCGACATAGTTATGTAAGATCTAATTATTTTTAGACCGTTAAATGATAATAACAAATTAATATTTTAAATATAAACGTACAGGATTTGTCAAAGATTGGAATTTTCACCGTTTTCTTTAACTTGATATTTATACCGATCGGTTTGAGGAATTCTTAAATTTTTAACTCTCTGGAAATAGTCTGTGATATCTGTCATAAATGTTATATATTTTAGTATAAGTTTATTTATGTATGTATTATGTACGGTCGTGGACAGTGAATTTCGTCTACCCAATTTCTTTGACAGAAAAAAACTCTAAATTAGCCCTTAGATCTTTCTAACCTTTTTTTGTGATTTTGACATAAAGGGGCAAACATTTTTTTATACGATAACTAGCACTAGTCCGCGATAAGCCCAAAAGTGTAGCGACATCCCGTCTTGGAAAAGGGATATTAGTTTACCTTCATTAAAATAACTAATCGATGGCAGGTTCGAAGCTAAATTAAATTTGACAATACTTATGTCAGTCATGACAATTAAGCACCGACTACAGTGAATTTTTGTGAATTCGCGTGAATTGTGTGGACGAAATTCACTGTCCGCGACTGTACATTAAAATTATCGGGTGTCTGATTGAACCCTGGTTAGTGGGCTACTTCCCACTTTACTGTTTTTTTTCTAATGTCATATACCTAGTGTTTGTCATTGTATTCGAGACAGTTGTCATTTCGCTGTCAAAGTCAATTTAAAAGTTATTAATTCACAAAAGTTGATGTGACAAACGAATGACAGCTGCTAACATCACAGTCTTGACCAGGTTTTCATTTAGATACCCGATATTTTATGGCAAATAGTTAATGTGTAGCGTAAAATGTACTGTCACGCCCTGTGACCATACAGAGTGTTTTGTAATAAAACCATGTATTTGTTACATTAAGATATACCAATTAAACTGTGATAATAAATGCAATTCTTGTTGATGTGGACCATTATTACACCAATGACACAATTCTTCAACGAATCCACGAACCAGCGACCATTCTTTTAAATTGGACATGGTAAGTGGACATTTATCTTTGTGATATTTAAAGTTACACTTTTTTTAATAATATGTATACTATGTAGCGCCCAATTCTTCTTTTCCAATGTATTATTATTAAAGAACTATGTTATTTAATTTTTAATTTAAACTTATTATAACTTTAAGATAACAAATACTGCACGCACACGTAGTATCCATGTTTTCGACAGTGAGCTTAAAAAATTATTAAGTATTAATTAAATAATCAGACGAAGAGAAAGCTCTCCACATAGCAACTAGTCTCGTCATTTAGAGTCGATTGCGTCGATAAGAACTTTAAACCTTAAATGCATAATGATATGGTTCGGTTCCAAAATTGCTGTTATTTTAGAATTCGTAAACATTTATTAAGTATCATCTTCAAAATAGTACAACAAACAACAACAATATATAAATATAAATCATTTCTTCTAGACTACACCTTATAACAGTAACTTTTTCTAGAATAAATACATTAAGAAAAAATCCAACATCAAAATCTTCAAAAACGCCTAAATGAGCAAATCAACGAACACAGGGAAGTGCATCTAAAACACTTTGGCAACATTTAAATAGAGGTCGTGTTCTATATTCTTAAATCTTATACATTGGTGCTTTTTGACACAGTTGGAACATAATATTGAGGTCAATTCGTGTTACACACTAGTTTTTTTTGTTCTCAGGGTACAAAAATGAATACAAATTGACTACGAATATTCCTGTCATCGGTCTTGAAGTGATATTAAACCAAATAAGTGATATTATATACCCTGCCTTTATGAATAGAAAACTTATTGTCTTACTCAGTTTGGTTCAGACTTATCTACTGTTACATATAAAGGTTTGTACAGTACAATAGGCTCCCTAATGTGGTGTTCGTTTCCATCGTAGACTTGTCCGAGGAGGAATTCTGGTCCGAGCAAAAAAATCTTTCTTTGTGATATCATATAATAATTTTGAGAAGAATCATCAAGATAATGTCTAGAATTTTGGAAGATAAAGACGAAAACGAAGTTTATGTACCCCAGTGGCGGCTCGTCAGATGAGGCAAGTGAGGCGGCGCCTCACAGCATATATCTTAAGAACAGATTGACTAAGGCCCGGTTTTACAAATGTCCGGTTCAACACGAGTTCAACTGAACTGAGGTTCAATTCATGCGTCCGTTTTACAAACACCGCTATCGTCCGGTTCAGCTGAAGCACAAATTTCCTTAGGTTGGTAGCGCGCACCCGAGAATCTGACAGTTGAAACCACGTTGGAAGTGTGTTGTTGTTGTCATCTATGGTTGTCATTTGTGTGCGCTGATTCAAAGTTGTTCACATTATTATAAATTATTTGTGACAAATTCTGCAAAGTAATTAGTTTTCTGCGTTAGTGGGGTACATATATTTGTATATGTAACATTTGCTCCTTAATAAGTAGATGATTATGGTGGTTTTTAACATTTCGTTTCAGATGAGTAATACACGTGCTCCGAATTTTACAAAATCCGAAGAAAACTTGCTCCTATCTTTAGTGAGCAAGTATAAAAATATTCTGGAGTGTAAATTGTCCAACACTGATGCAAATCAAAAAAAAAATCAGTGTTGGAAGAAAATTGAAGTAAAGTTCAATTCTTTATCTGGCCAGACCTTCCGGGATCACAAAGTTTTGAACAAAAAGTACGATAACATTAAGAAGAGGACAACGAAAAAATTTGCTGACGAGAAAGCCTATGTCGGTGGTACTGGGAGAGGGTCACAACAAAGTATTGAGGCCACCGATGTTGATGTGGCTGTAAAAGAAATTCTCGGGGCCAGACTAATGGGGCATAGCAGCGAATTTGATGGCGATTCCGAAACAACCTGTAATAAGTATTTTTATGAATAATATGTATTGTAAAATTAAAATGTTGATGCTTTTCAGCATTCCAAAGTAACAGCGGTATAATCTGTCTGATGACGAAAATGATGGTAAATACTTTTTATCCTTACATACACTTTATTCAGAAATTTTTTACTATTTTTTCTTTATTTCAGATTGTTTTATGCCAAAAGATCAAACCGGAGCAATTTCGAGAGAAGTGCCTGTTATGGATAAAATAAGTTGTCCCAATAAAGAAAGTGATAAACATTAATAATAATCAAATAATTCGTTTTGACTTGTACCTATGGTTATTTTTGTCGAAAATGGTCAAACTGGGAATTGGGCTAAATACTCCCCCAAAATCTTGAAGCAAAAAAAATTTTCAGCACTCACGCCATATCGTAGAGGTATTATATTATGTATACTGTGATAACCCAAACTTCCCGCCTTAAAATTGACCTTGAAACAGTTTGAAAGGCCCGCGAAAAATTCAAAAATTCAAAGTTTGGCCTTGGTTGTGATCGTCTAACAAATGAGAACCTACGTTGTGTTTTTTTTTTTTGTTTTGAAAAATGGCGGGAAGACGTTCTTTCATACAAGTGCATACACTGTCGAGAGCGCAAGAAATAATAGACAAAAATTGTTTTGGAGGGGGAGTACGGCACCCCTCACAGGGGGAAAGACGCTTCGAAGATTTACCCCTCAGCGCAAAAACCCCCTTTGGTTTTATTCCCGGACGACATATTACATTTCAAACACCTTAAGATCTGTGAAAGAAAAACACTCGCGAATTGACAGACATACACCTATGAAAAACGAACAAACGGAAAATTCTATACATCTGTTTGGAATCAATGCAAGTATTTGAATATCACAAATTTAATAAAACAAAGCAAAAGCTGAATCAAGTAACTGGATGCAAATACACAAGTTATTACAGGCGTGTGGCGGCCGATCTCTTTTTCCTTTTTAAGTTACGGCAGTTAACAGGAGCACAAGAAAAGTACCCCTGGAGCGTTGTAGCATAAGCGGAGTCTGGGCTACCGGTCTGGAACTGTTCTCCCCCCACGACGGTGATTCTATCTATCGCAAAGCCTACCCCACACGCATATCCCATGACGAACTGTGCCCTGCGGAACTAGGCCATTACGGTCGTCCAACCCGCAAGAGATCTAAGCTATGTACAGAAGCTGAGAAATTTACAACGTCGGCGGCCGCCCCTGAATCTATCCAAACCTGTGGACTTGTACAGGTGGCACGATAAATCTCGCCAGCTCGACTAGGAACCGAACCTCGCTTCTGCCACGTTTTCTATGTTATTTAACCTCAATTCCATTTTAAAATATTCAATCTCTTATAACTCTGATATTAACAACAACTGAACAAGTGTTAAAGTTTCAAAGGGCAATAACCAACATTTATATACGCCATACAACCTTGTGAAATTTTAAACAACAAATAATTCTTATATGAGATTAAAGTTGGACATCAAATAATATATACGATAGAAACATTCATCAACAAAGTATTTACAAAACAAAACTTAGCAAGGATTTATGCAACAAAGAACTGATGTGAAATAAACTTGTACAAGTAGAAATATCATGTGAGGTTAAAACTGTAGAACATGAAATTTACGTTCAATTAAATTTATACAACAAATAAAATTATTGAGGTTAAAATTGTGAGATTAAAGAAATATAGTATGAGGTGGAAGATTGCAGAGTTACCAAAATTTACAGGAGATTAATAATTGCCACACTTTATCAACGGTTCAAACAAAGAGTTTACATTATGCCAAATTATATCATGAACTAAATGATTGGTTACTTCAAAAATAATTTACTTTGAGAGTTTAAAATACTACGAACTGGTTACCCCAACAAAACACATAATAAATAAATAAACCTTTATTTTCTACAGGTATTATACCCAATTACAGAAAATATACATTATTCAGGCTAGTTAAATGACACGTTGAAATTACTTAAAATAAAAATAAAAAGAAGAAGAAACAAAAAAAAAATTAATCAAGATAAATTAAGTTAACTTCCATTGTCCCAATAAGTTACGATGCAGTGTCTAATTTTTGTAATAGCGTCATGATGGATGTCGCAGTTCCAAGCAATTTTGTTGAAATTATTGCATATTACATGCAATGGTGACTTGCATAAAATATTTGTTCTGCAGGGGTGTGTATAAAATGTAAAAACTTGACGAGTAAGCTGAGTTCTGGGAACTAAAAAGTTGATCTTTTGTAGAAGCGATGTGCAGTCTACACGATTGTTCAAAAGTTTCCACAGAAACGAAATGCCGTATGATATTCTACGAATTTTTAGTGATGTGAACTGAAATCTTTCAAGTAACAACGTATGATCAGTGCCACGTGGGGGATATGTCCTATCAACAATAAAGCTTAAAAACTTCAGAAATTTCCTCTGAACAGATTCAACATGATTAATATGTATTTCGTAAATCGGAGACCATACACACGCACAATATTCAAGCCTAGAGCGAACTAGAGAATAGTATAAAGCTGATAAAGACCGAATGTTCGTAAACTCTTTGCAATTCCTATAGATGAATCCATAGGTTTTAAATGCTTTTGCAACAGTATCCTGTGTGTGGTTCACAAAGCTAAGTTTCATATCGTATATGACACCGAGATCTTTATAGATATCTGTTCTTTTAAGCTTCGAAGTTCCCATTGTGTACGTGAAGACGATAGGTTTTAATTTTCGTGTGAAAGACATGACAATGCACTTTAGGATATTAAGAGTGAGTCGATTCCTTAAGCACCAGTTAATTAATATATTGATATCTTCTTGGAGTTGAAGACAATCATCAACGCTTGTGATTTTGGCGTAGATCTTTAAGTCATCAGCGAATAGTAATTTTCGATTTAGTAATAAATTAGGCAGATCGTTAATAAATATTAAAAATAGTAACGGACCCAAATTAGATCCTTGCGGAACCCCAGATGTTGGTACCGATGACTTCGACAGATGGTTTTGATAACGTACACGCTGCTCACGACCAATCAAATAAGAAGAAAATAATTGAACCATAGAGTTAGAAAATCCCATCAAGCGCAATTTTTTGAGTAAAATGAAGTGATCAATTTGATCAAAGGTCTTCTGAAAATCAGTAAAAATTACGTCGACTTGACCATTATCATCCAATATTTCAGAGACATCTTGCGTAAAGCACATAAGGTTAGTTGTTGTTGACCTTTTTTTCATAAAGCCATGCTGAAAGGGGGAAATTGACTGCTTAACAGAGGTATATATTCGTTTATGTAAAATAGTTTCTAATACTTTCGCAAAGTTACACAGAAGAGATATTGGACGATAATTTTGAATCAATCTAACGTCTCCTTTTTTAAGTATGGGACAAATAATGGATTTTTTCCAGATAGAAGGGAAAGATGATGTTTTAAGGATAAGATTAAATATGTGTAATAGCGGTTCAACTAATACTGAGCCAGTATCTTTCAAGAAAAAGCTAGGAATGCCGTCACTTCCTGCAGTAAATGAATTTTTACAATGATGTAAGGTATCCAGAATTTCTTCTCTAGAAATATAATCTATATCTATTGAGAAATTGACATTACAATCTACAGATACAGAGTTTAAACCTGTGCTATTCGAATCAGTAAATACACTACAAAAGTACTGATTAAAGCTGTCAACAATAGTTTCAGGTGTTGATAATGTGTGATCATTATAATGCATGATACCAGGAATTCTAGAGGTCCCTTTTCTCTGTTGCACAAAACCCCAACATTTCTTAGGATTATTAAGAAGATTGGACTGAATATCCTCAATGTACGGGTCCGTTAACTTGGCACCACCAAGTTAATGAATTTTACTCAAAAGCTAGCACCTCGTTGTTCTAACCTAGCACCAGCTAGCACCACCAATCAAAAAGCTAGCACCACCTAATTATTGAAATAAAAGCCTTTTACTTTCGGGGGGGGGGGCCAAGTTAACGCTAGCCCCCCGACATTATTTAATTCTCATGAAAAGTTGGTCCGAGGTAGTTTAGACCTAGCACCAGCTAGCACCACTAGTCTCATAGCTAGCACCACTCTGCAAGTATTAAAAAAAAAATTAAAAACCACAAAAAAAGTAGCCCCCACTTTTTTTTCTTTAATGGTAAAAATCGGTAGGTTAATAGTCTAGAGCTAGCACTCGCTGGATCCATTAAAAAAAAGTGTATTTTTATTCAATAAAGCCATGTAATAAAGGGTTATTTTCGGGGGGGCTAAGTTAACGCTAGCCCCGCAATATAATTTAAAGACAATGAAAAGCTAGCACCTATTAGTTTAGAGCTAGCACCAACTAGCACCATTAGTCTTATAGCTAGCACCATTAAACAAACTAAATAAAATAATTGAAAAGCCCTGAAAAAATAACTCGCATCTATAATTCCCAATTGTGGCCGGAAATAAACTATCTTTGAAAATTAATACATTACAATCATCCATTACTTATAAAAAGTCATATTTTCTGCATTGAACAGAACTTAATATCTACATTATCTACATATTTAATTAAATTACATCACTTGCGTTCAAATCGTTCTTCATTTATTTCAACACACTAAATATTAGGCCATGATAAATGTGATCATTTAATTTTTTTCCACAGTCATACATTTGACTGACATTACGTAAATAACAAATTTGAAATAACAAGCGAGACTATAAAATTGAAGTCATTTGTAATTTATAAATCCGAGGTTAATGACGAAAACCTTTGTAAACTCTAAATTTCTAAAAATATTTTTAAAATAATTTAAAATCCTAGAAACTTAACAGACAATGTGTCTAGAAGTCAAGTACAAATTATGAAGTTTTACTATCCGTAATAATAATTCCTATTTTGGGGCAAGCGTCTATTCTTTAGTTTCGCGCTTAGCAATACTTCAGGTATACGAACAAAATAGCATTTGTGAACAGTTTGGTGGGCCTTGTAGATCCCTACTACACTTATACAATGAATATTTGTTTGAATAACACGCTTTAGAAGCAGCTTATTTTCAAGTTAATGCAAATTCATTACTTATTACTAACAAACACATTATTCATTTTAATAAGAACTAATTTAGTTTTTTGTATCGATAGTGGTTTATTGGAGTTAACACTTTAACCATAGTTTAAAGAAGCTTTAACTTTGTTGTTGCGACGGTAATATTTTTATAAGATCGTAAAATTAGCATCATATTGTCCTGTAGTAGTCTTGTAGTGCAAACTGTCGTCGTCAAAACGGACTCTT